TAATCTCCGAAACTACTGGTTCGAATTGAATAAATCTTTTTGTGTTGGATAGTCCAGTTATCGAGGAAGGCTGTAGGCTATAAAACATCACGCTACGACCAATAGGAGCAAAGATATAGTGGTAAATGTGTAAAAAACGGGAGAAATTATTTCATCTTTGAAGCCTTTCGTTGCGTGCGCCGTGAAAACGGTTCAAGATAAACAAAAAATATGTATTAAAGAATAATAGCTCTTTTAATGATCTAAAAAAACAGTCCGCGACAGTATATGTCTATCTTTTAAGATTAACTCACAAAAACAGTTTTTGTGGTACTTAATTTGGTCAAAATAATTTGTTTAAGTTGTATCAACATAATAATATTAATCTTTATTCAAATAAACAAATAAATATGTTGTTGGTTAAGAGTACTTCATTGTGAATAAAAAAAGCGTAGGTTTTATCCTGAAAATTCTATGTGAACTCGACCATTCCGAAAGCCCCGCAAGAACGGGAACTATGTGCGAAGAACCAAAAATCTGCCGGAAGTCACTATTCCGCGCGGACGGAGTCGCGGCAAAAGCTAGTATGTAATATAATGGTTTCTACATCAATTTATATGTATATCGTTGCGAGGTTGTAGTATGGGTGAGAAGGACGGATTCGAAACCTGGTTATCTTTAGAATTGTCCATTTTATAAATAAACCCATATATCACTAATAGATTTATTAATCCTTAATGATGTATAAAGAATAACAGTATTGAATACAAAAAGTTTATGATTCAGGCGGATTATTTAAACGGCCGACTAATCTACTAACTATAACACTAGAGATATGTCTTACTTAAATATCGGAACCGTCCCCTCTTTTTACAACTCACCTGATTCATTGAAGGATTGATGACATCAGGATGGCTTTGAAAACTATTTTCAGAAATGACACTAAAGATATTATTTAAGATGTTTAAATTTAATCTCACTTATCGCACGTAGTTAAAATTTAATCTCTTATTTTATTAACGAAGTAATTAACTAATCATAGATTAATTTTAAAGACTTTTATTTTATAGTACCCAAAAGGTAAACAAACCGTTGACGTGTGTTCATGATTAAAATATTATATTAAAATATTTTTAATCATGAACATTCGTAAAAATTTACAAAAACAGTTCTGGGTATTTCTTCTCCATTTAATCTTTATATTTTAACCAATCATTCGCTTTAGCAAAGGGCGTGCATGTCTTTACATATAAATATGTCCTCAGTGACATTCATAATGTTAAGAATACCTTATAAAAGTACTGTCTTTACTCACAACAATAACTTCTAGCATTATTTAAAACGACCATAAATAGAAGAAAATTCCATACACATTTAGGGAATTCACGTTAATTTATATATGAAAATACTTAGAATATATGTTATTATTTTTTAGATATTTGAAGATTGTTTGCATTAAAATTGTTGCAATACCTATAATGTAATAATTAAATTCTTATTATAGTTTAAATGTTAAATATCATGAAACTAGATTGTTTTTGTAAAACTTTACTTACTATATATATTTATTTTAAATGAGCACTAAACAGTATGAACTCTTATTTAGAGTAATGTTTATGTGCAGGCAACTAACGTAACGTGTGGCTCGCCATGATATACGACTGTTTAAATTTTATACAAATTATACAAATTTAAACCTTTTATTTATAAAGTCCCGTCATTCTTACTTGTATTAAATGATTTATATCATCAACAGTGCAAATTAAGGTTTAACAAATTAATGTCTTGCCGATTTTCATTTAACCACTCTACAGTTATGTACATATATGCATCTTAACATAATTTAATACATATTTACGTAGTTTTAAGGAAAATCTATTTTACAGCCGGTGTGAATTTGCAATTTTTTGAAATTGTGTTGTTGCTGTCGAATATAATTATCTTGAACATATTTATTTAATTTGTAAAAAGTATTAAATGATAAAACTATAATATTGTAGGAATATTGGAGAGGGGCGAGCCATATATGTATAAGAATTTGTCACAGAATATCAGGGTTCTTTTCTCGTTCAAAACGCGAGTTGGTATGATAGTTTTATCAATCGTAGATTTTCGGAGTGTATTTAAATCTTTCTTTTGGGATATATTCAAAATATGTTTTCAAGATAGCTTTTAATCAAGAAAATTTAAAGTTATTACTAAATTAAAAATTTAAAGTTATTACTTAGTAAATACGTATTTCAATGAAAAATAGTGAAATGTCGGAAAAGGATACAAAAAGATGTATTGAGTCATCTGGACTTTATCAGTCGACTTTCTTTTTAAATTCAGTTTGAATGCTTAAACCAATAAATCTAAAGTCAATTAAAAAAGTAACAAAGACTAAAGGTAGTAATACTCCAGATTAACTGAATACTACATAGTAATTCATCGACATTAGCTATTGAAACAAATGAGATCACAATTCCGTTCCGTAAGTCTGCGAAGCTCTTAGAATCCCGTAGTTTTGCATGTTTTGCTTACCTTCCCCGAAAAATAAAAATTAATTTCAATACGCTGTCCTATTTAGCACACAAACTAGGTGAAATATCATCGAATTCTCGAAACTAATACAATTCTATACTAGATTAAAATTTTATAGTTAAATGTTATGTTGATATTAAAATAAAATGTAACATTATAAAGCGTGGTGCAATAAATGGTTACCATAACTGAAAAACGATTGATATGAAAGAATTTTTGTTGCGACAGAAATATATGAAGACTAGCTTCCGCCCGCAGATTCGCCCGCGTGGAGTTCGGTTATATCGCGTTTCCAAGAGAACCTTTCAAAAGTCTGGGATAAAAACTATCCTATGTTCTTTCTCAAGGTCAACTCCATCTCTGTACCCAATTTCATTAAAATCAGTTCAGTGGTTTAGGCGTGAAAGCGTAACAGACAGACAGACAGAGTTACTTCCGCATTTATAATATTAGTAGGGATAATTTAATGTGTTCAATATTTAATGGTAAACGTGGATTAAATAAATAACATCAGTTATGGAAAATTTGGCCAGAAAATAATTTTTCATGAATTTTCAAAAGATTAATTCGATAAGGTATTAAAATTTAATTAAAAGTGTGACAAGCACGAAGAAATGTTAAATGCATAAAAAGCATAAATCCTCAAGAACCTCTGCCTCTTGTGTTGGCATAAATTAAACCAAATGATCATTAAAGGTTGTTCTCTTAATTGTTTTCATTACTTCTAAAATATAAATTTCTACTAAAATCCTTAACGAAAAAACCTATGAATAAATGCACTATGCAATAATTACTGTGGAAAAACTTTTCTTCAGGCGATAAGTGTATGAAAATGTACTTACGTTGTAAACGATGTGGTGACGAACAATACTCATCTGAAAATTAAGTTTTACATTAGTAAGTATATAATTATAGATGAAGTATAGAACAAAATTATATCTTTTTGAGGGAGGAAGCAAAATTAACAAATTATTCAATTATGCCGCACGTCTTCGTCTGACTCCCATAACATACGAAATTGAACATCTGAGTGGTTTACTTTGGATCCAATTATTTAAATAAACAAACGTCAACTCCTTCTACATGAATCTTATTTATACAGTCTCCAGATCATTAATTTACATTACAATACAAATATATTTATAGCGTCATGAATACATAACAGAATGGAATTATTATATCAAAAAGTACAAGTTATTACATACGTAGTGTAGGAATTTAACGGTGCCTACGTTTCAGACCATTGAAAATAGATTATACCTTACTTTTTTTAGAGATTCATGACTAATTTTATGTATGTGTGTGTGAGTGTATACCTAATCTGTGGGGTGTTCACACGATGCGTAATTAATAACATAACTTTTGGTTAACTTTACTTAGAAGTTTATTAATATTTATGTTATATTGATTTTTATTTTGTCATATATGATCGTCAAATATCACGTCCTCAAGTATCGATAGTAATTCACCAGTCACCCTGTATATACATATATTAATATAGCGGTTTTTTTTGTTACATGACCTGTATTTGTTTTAACTTTTGCCCCTTTCTTAAATAAATAGAACCAAGAAATGGTTCACTTTATGTTTTGTCAGTTCCATCTCAATTACCAAGCAATTTTATAATTATGTCCGCTACAACATATATTGTGTTATGGGTGAAAAAAATTCTAAAGTTTTGACGGAATTACGTAAAATTTTTATTAGAGATTTCCTTCGTCGAATCGAATTCCACGGCATTCCACCAACGCTAGAGGAACTAAGTAGTCAGATCAAGAGGAAGTCGTCTAAATCTGCACCGGGACCCGATGGTATCCCATATATAGTCTTTAAAAAATGTCCATCGGTTCGTAAACACCTCCTAAATATATACGGTAAAATCTGGTCAAGGAAGCAAATCCCGGAGTGCTTCGGGAAAGCAATTTTTGTCCTCATTCCCAAAAAAGATCGAGTAACTGATCCGAAAGATACTAGACCGATAGCTTTAACAAATACTATATCGAAAATCTTTTTCTCGGTTCTACAAACGAGAATGACGCGATTCATGCTCAGCAATAACTATTTTAGGCCAAATCACCAGAAAGGGTTTCTACCCGGGATTTCTGGATGCCTAGAACACAACACCTTGCTGTCGGAGAGTTTGAAAGATGCTAGAAAGTTTGTTGGATAGACTTGGAGAACGCGTTCGGGTCGATACAACACGAATTGATGCTATTCGCGCTTAGATGGTACAACTTTCCACCCCTAGTTAGTGATATGATCGCGTCGTATTACTCAAAATTAAGGTTTTCTATAATAACTAAAGAAGGCCCTTCAAAAAGTTTGAGTTATAATGTAGGACTGTTTCAAGGTTGTTGTCTATCTCCAATTGCGTTTAATATCGTAATTAACATCTTAGTGGACAAATTAATCTGTAACGAAAAAAATGGGGTTATCGGTTTAAGTTTAATAATAAATACACGGAATCCATTTTAGCCTTCGCTGACGATCTCGCAATACTGACACGTAACCCCAAACACTGTCAGGTACTATTGGATGAAGTGGATAAATTCTGTGAGTGGACGGATGGATTGAGGACAAAACCCAGTAAATGTCACTGTCTGTGTCTTGGTAGGCGGAATACAAGATACACCTCATACGATCCGGGACTATCGTTAGGCGGTCAATGCATTTCTACGGTTACGGAAAATGCACCATTTAAATTTCTCGGTCGTAAGATTGATAATATAGGCCGTACTCCATCTTTAGAAGGAATAGTAGATAGCTTTTTGAACGATCTTAACAAGGTAGATAGCCAACTGATTAGTAACGTCAAAAAAGCATGGATCTACGATAATTACTTAACTTCACGTTTGAATTGGCCTTTCCTCGTCTATGATTTTAATAAAACCCTTTTGTCAAAGTTGGATGCAGGCGTCATAAAGATGTTGAAGTTGTGGCTCGGGCTCGCGCTAACGGCTGATTCATCGACGTTATTCAGGGGGAAGCAATAGTTTTGGGATGAGTCTAAAAAGGCCATCAGAGCTCTATAAACACTTAAGAGTTTCCAAGAGATATATCCTGGGGAAATCCCATGATGACGTAGTGACATCGCTCCCAAAAGATGAAGATGCCCCCGAGCTAGAGTCACGACTTCAATTCCATAAGCAATTTATGATAGGAGCACAAAGTAACAGAGCGGGATTAGGATCAAATAGGAAAGTACATACAAGATGCGGATATATTGAAGTCTTTTATTCGGCAAGACGAGAATGATAAATGTAAGATCCATGCAATGAATTTAGAAATGCAGAACAAGTGGTTAGACATAGGAGATTTTTGCATCCCATTAGCATTAAAATGGCGCACTTTAATTTACGATTGGTCGCCAGCATTGCTAAAATTCTATCTCAATGCGTTCCAGATGACTCTCCCAGATCAGAGTAATTTAGTAAGATGGGGTAAAAGTACCGAAAAAACTTGCTATATCTGTGGAACGGCAGTTGGAACTGCTAAACATCTGCTGGTGGGATGTAAGGTACTCCTGGACAGCGGTCAATACTCGCGTCGTCACGATAGGGTTTTAGAAGTCATACGTGAAGCGGTTAGTCTTTCGGTAGCCAGAGCGCAAAAGGAAATTACCACAAACGAACGATCAGTAGGTTTTGTGAGAGAAGGCACTAGGGCTACAAAATCAAACGTCAAGCCTTACTCCATCCTTAAAGCGGCGTCGGATTGGACTATAATGATGGACACGTATGAAAAACAATATAAAATCCCAGAGGACATTTGTGCGTCGGCCTCCAGACCGGATATATTTTTGTTTTCGCGAATTTTAAAGCGCGTAGTGATGATAGAGCTTACGGTCCCTTAGGAAACCAACATCCCCAAAGACCATACCATCAAGGTCAACAAATATTACGAACTCACTCGAAATAGGTTCATAGTAGATTTGTACGCGGTGGAGGTGGGAGCGAGAGGTATAACAGCGAAATCTCTCTATAACCTACTAAAGGACTTGGGCTTGTCCAGAACTCACTTTAATGCATTCTTGGAACGTACATCGAAGGCAGCCCTAGTAGGTTCTTTTCAAATTTGGTTAGGTAGGGAGAGGAGCTTGGACAGTGGAGGTGAGCGTATAACGCGCGTTAGTTAAGGGGCCCCTTAAACCTACACTTGGGTCGCAAGTCCCAGGCACTGTTGAAGCTCCCCTCCCTGCAACGCGATGGACCCGGCACCCGCACGGTGAATCCATGGATTGCTGAGAAGTTTCGTCTCATAGTAATAATTTTTTTCTGTCATATGTTTGTATATTACATTGGAACTTTGATTCTATACCAAAATAATGCTTTTAATGAATCGGTAAGATTGAAACGCAAAAGAAATCTTTTGTTTCAAATATTATTCAACTTTGAAAATGTAAAAATAAAGTCACTTCTATTTAAAATTAAAATAACGTGGGATTAAAGGTGGACAATGTGCTAGTGATACCGCTGGTAGTAATTACACACGTCCAAAAGCTACTAGCTTTAACTACAAGCGAGCCGTACGAACATCGCTTTTCACAGACGTGATATTACTGTTTTCCTTATTGATCCTCTTTGAAAACAGTTTCTGTGTTCACACTCGTTAATTTTTTATTCACGAAAAAAAGTAAAACTTATACAAAGAAGGTAAAAAGTACCCTTATCCGAATTTCCGAAAAAAATGCGAATATTTTAGAGTAATATCATAAATAGCACGAAGAATATAATTTATAAGAAAATTACTAAAAGAAATATTTAGGAATTAATTGGTATTTTGGACTTTGTAGTATTAATTTTAGGTGATTTTAAAATAAAACTACGTGACTTAGATTACTTCAGGAAATACATTTTTAAAAAATATAAACTACAATAAGGGAATACATATATGTATATAACCTTACTCTTGATGATTTTATACTCTGTTACACTTAAAGTTTTCTTACTTACTTGCTTACTCTGTTACACAATAACCACTTTAAACTAGTTTTCTTAGATAAGGTAATTATTAAATACTAGAAGACCTGGCGAACTTCGTATCGCCCTATAATCAAAAAATATCTATTACGTTTTTTATTTATATTTTGAGAGTTAACCTGTAAGCCATAAATCTCCGTGTTTTGAAGTGTGACAGAATGATTGACATATTAGTTAGTTGTCAAATCTAATGTCAAAAAAAACGTTTGTATGGGAAATAGAAAAGGGCTGTTTTTATGGTTTTCCCAGTAATGAATCAATTTTTTTCAGCTTTTATACCTTCCCTGAACCGCCACGAACATTTCAAGACTAAGATAAGATAAATCCGTTCAGCCGTTCTCGAGTTTTAGCGAGACTAAGGAACAGCAATCCATTTTTATATATATAGAAGAAGAAGACTAGTAAACCTGGCGAACTCCGTTTCGCCACCAGAAGGCTTTTATATAACATTTCGTTTGGTGATTAAAAGATGAAGATTTTTTTTGTTTTATATTTGAAAAGGAAAATTTTTATTTCATTTCACAACACTAATGAATTCATTTCGAATACAAAAATGAAGTGTTATTTACTTGAACTTCTCTAACTAAATGAAAGTGAATCCAAAGTAGGTACCGAATCGAAGCGTTATACGTGTCCGCAAATTATCCGTTTCATTGAAGTGGTCCTTTGTAATCCACATTTTTTGTTTTTTGGTCTAACTTTAACACAAATAAAGCGGATGGTTTCCAAACTCACATTTGTCACATGAAATTAACTGAGCAGAGAACAATGAGTAGCTGTCAACCAATGTATCATGCGACGGCACCATTTACTTAAAATATTGATTTGTAGTACATTTTATATATGATGGCGCTGTATGTGAAAAAAGATTTTCCCGCTTTTCTGTTGAAATTTTTTGTTATATACCTCACGGAATCCGAGACCTTTCCAACTAATGCAAAACCGTGGAAATTAGTTCGTTCCGGACGGGACTTATTTTTATATATGTAGTACATCTCTTACAAATACATATCTAATTGTCATCATTACGTCATAACATATCTGTCATTATACGTCAATTGCATAGCTGTCAATTGTGTTTCGTTATTCAACGTTTTATAGTTAATGACGTTTCATGTCAAGTCCCACGGGAATGCTGTCGAACGGGATAAAAAGTATCCTATTGCAATTTCCTAGTTCTAAACTACCTAACTGCCAATTTTCAGCTAAATCGGTTCAGCCGTTCTTGAGTTATAAGTGGGGTAACTAACATGACTTTCTTTTATATATATGTATAAATAGAAGATTATAAGAAACCTTATATTTCGTTCATATCCAACTTTTTGTTTGCAATGACTACTATTCATAATTGGAAGTAATAGGGATCACAGGCTTAACTCAAAGTGGACCGAGTGTTGACTGTGAATATTGTAGCAAAAGTAAAGGTCTCGTTTATATTATAAGCTTTATTCGTATGCCCTTTGTTTATCCACAAACAAAGCTTATTGTATAGAAGACACCAAAAGGATGAAATGTTGATAAAGTTGGCCTGTGTGTCACACTGCAAACAAATATGTAATGGAAACGGTTGTACTATGAAGAACAAGTCTTAAATATATTCTTCATATAATTTATACATATATACAAGTAAAGATAATACTGATTGTACTAAACGTATATTTGACTAAAAGGATATCCTCTTAATACGTAAGCATCGCTTGTAAATTTTAAATGTTTGATTTCCTTGTACCGTTTTCTATCACTTATGTTTCATTGGGCACATCTATTACAATGTCTTGTATAACAGACGAGCCCCTAATGATCTCAGATACAGTTCAGGATTAGTTGCAGAGTTGGGAACTCAAAACTTTTCATAATTTTGTAAAAAGAAACAACAAAAGGTACGGAAAATATATAAAGAAAACTGTATAATAGGTTAGAATTATTATTATTGCGATACGAAATAAAATTATGCACTTTTATAAGTCAATGAGTCATTACAGGTACATACATAAATGAATTTTATACTTTTATTGATTTGTAAGTAAAACAATAAACTATTAAGAATAAAAGTTTTTGTTTAGAAATTGTTTTGTTTCTAATGACTTGTTTTATTTTCATACTATTATTTTGATTATTTGCCGCTATTTATGAGTGCTAGAAGATAAATGCGTATTTTTAAAACACAAGTTCTATTTTGGTTGTGTTTTATCATATTTTTTTTAATGAGATAGCCAAATATAGCTAAAATAAAAGACGCATTTATATTTTAAATATTTCAGTGTGTTTCAGTTTAAATGTTTTTTTTTTTACTGAAAATAAAGTTCTTTGCACCTTTTTTCGTCTGATATCTTACTAACGGTTTTATTGTCAAAGTCACGTATTATTTTTCAATAAACTTAAATAATATTTTATACGTAGATAATGAGAATTTTGACAAAGTAAAAAAAAAAGATTGAGAATAATGTGAATTATTATTTGTAACTTGATTAACAGCCAACAGATGAGGAACACCATATTAATCATATTGATATAAAAATCATAATAAAAATTAAACATGTACTGTAAAGTTGTTTCGCAGATTAAATGTTAATTTTCCGAGAAATTTGTATCTTTCAAGAAATGTACTTATTGAATTTTTTTCTCTGTCTTTCTAGTTAAAGTTCTTTACAAGATCTCGTAAAAAAGAAGATACGACGGATTGAAACTATCAGTAGAAATTACTCTAGATAACTTCGGAATTATGACTAAAGCTTCGTAATTCAATATTACGTAAATAACGGGTACAAGACGACAAGAAATAAATATTTTTATAAGTAATATTTTAAATTAATTATAAGTAAGTTCTTTGTATATAATTAATTTTTAAGTAAAAGGAAAATTGTAACCCTTAAAGATCTCTTTTTTAAACGAAATAGGGACCATAATCTGATAAAGGGTACTTGAATTTCAGAAATCTTTTATTTGTGATAAGGTTTTTATGACCTTCAGACAGTTCAGAACGATTTAGTTTTGATTGGATTTATTACTCAAGTTTTACTGCTGTGGTAACCAAAAACAACTATTATTGTAGTCAGTTATTTTTATGTACAATAGGCTAGTTGCCACTACTTTTATTATTTCATAGGACGGTTCATAACGATTATATTATATTACGCCATAATTTTTTTTTGAAGCACCTACCCTAGTAAACTATACATTTTAAAATATATTTTCGCTTTGCAGTCATAAACGCCGTCCGCCATGGTGGTCTATTAATTATCTGTGCCTTGACGTAATATTCTTGTAAACAATACGAGTGACTATCATAAACTTTTTACCGGAATTCAAAACCATGGCTTCGAAAGGATTACATGATAAAATATAGTAGTCATCACTATTATATCCTGCGGGAATGTAAGAATGCATCAATAAAGAACCCAGAAAAGTTGTGGATTAAAGTAAGCAGTGTTGAGAATATGTGTAATACCTGATTACAACTAGCTAAAAAAATACTGTAACTCTGTCAGTCGAACAGAAGTGTACTTCTGTGAAGATCACTTCAATGTAAGTTAAAGAAACTTACACCAAAAAATTTTTTGTAATTTTCACTTTAAACTATAATGTATTAATATTTTTTCTTTCTAAATAAAGTTTCAGTAAGCGACTATGCGTAGTCAATTGCCCACGTGTTAACATTGGTTCTGTTTTTATTTTAGCTTGAAAGTGACGTGGAAAATTATATACAATATAAAACAATGGGTTCAGTTAAAAGAATCAGAATGAAAACTAATTGTGTTCCAACTCGATTTACTTGTTAAAAGGAGAGAAAACATTTGGTAACAAAGTGATGAGGATGTGGTCAAGAAAAGAGTATATTTCATTGAACAATCTTTTATTCTTTTTACGTGGAATACCTAAATATGTAATTATCAAGGCGAATAAATGAAAAACTACGAATAACCTGAAACTAGCGTTCGAAATTATGTTGTTTACAATATAGTGACGTAGAAACATGGCGGACGGTGTTTTCAATCAAATGAAAAAAAAATCACGAGTTTCGGTTGAATTTTTATAGCAATCCTTTATATCTACCTAATATTTTTTGAAGTTAATATATTTCGGACCCTTGTACGGAATAATATTTGAATTAAAAGTTATTTTTATAAATGGTGACTTGAGGCAACTTGCCTATATCCGTAAAAATCCGGCAGAAGAATAGACAGTAGATACAAACGAGTTAATCATCATATCAGGTTAGTTTTATTTAGATTAGTGTTCATTTTTTTTTTAAATCTCATTTTCCACAATAGGTACTAGAGACCAATTAAATTAATAATTAAACTAATCTTCTTACGGTCGTGGTACGTACGCTGTACATATGAAGAAAAGGAATGAACATCGCCGGGGCGAAATCTTTATATCGGTACAATATCGTATAACGAGTGACGCTTCTGACTCCGCGGAACGAACACCAAGCCGTGTGAACCAGAAGATTCCACATACCACACAAGCAATAGAATGCCATTGTCATCCTAACATCGGGGCAATCATGTAGTCTTAGGTATAGGTTAAAAGTTTTAAAATGTAATTCGTATTTTAATATACATATAGGGGAGAGTCGGTTATATCGTACCACTTTTCACTTTAACTCAAATATTTCGTCTATCACACGTCTTATAATATTGAATACATATGTAAAATAAAGTTTCATATTTTAGCTTCCTAAGAAGGATTGAACAGATCCGTGCGATTATTCTAGCATTGTTAAAAATGCTTTTTTGTAGAGGCTTGCCATCGGTACGATTTAGCCGACTAGTCGTTTTAATCGTACCAACTTAACTAAGTCTTTAAATCGTACCATGGGTGTTTAAGTCGTACCACTGAATGAAAGACATTAAAATTCTCAATCAAATTATTTATTTTTAACTCTTAGGTAAGTAATAAAACAACATTATTTAAATCTTTTAGATAATAGAAACGTAATTTTTAACTCTTAGGTTATATAAAGGAACTATACCTAAGCTTTCTCAGTTAAATGACATGATTATACTATGACTAGCTTTTGCCGCGACTTCGTCCGCCTGGAATAGTGACTTCCGGCAGATTTTTGGTTCTTCCCACATAGTTCCCGTTCTTTCGGGGTTTTCGTAATGGTTGAGTTCCCGTAGAATTTTCAGGATAAAACCTATGTTTTTATTATTCACAATGAAGTACTCTTAACCAACAACATATTTATTTGTTTATTTGAATAAAGATTAATATTATTATGTTGATACACCTTAAACAAATTATTTCGACCAAATTAGGTACCATAAAAACGGTTTTTGTGAGTTCATCTTAAAAGATAGACATATACTGTCGCGAACTGTTTTTTAGATCATTAAAAGAGCTATTATTCTTTAATACATATTTTTTGTGTATCTTGAACCGTTTTCACGGCG